AGTTCTAGATATTAACTTTTTTTCTCTTTTTTCTTTCTCTTCTTCTTTTTTTTTTTTTTTTTTTTTTTTGAAAATAAAAATCGTTCGGGCGGAGCAATTTTTGGCGGGCGGGCGGGGATGAGAATCTAGGAATTTATTTTCTATAGCCTTAACATCGTTAAATACTATTCAAGCTAGAGAACATGTACACCCAATCATTTTTATTGTTCTTTCTTACCTAAAATCATTTTTTAAAGCCAAGTTCTATATATGTATGAGTTTTGTTACTTCTATCTAACTGATAGTCATTCTTGTAATATATGTTACTCTAATTTATTGCATCAGGGAAGACCCGCTGCTAATGTTGAGAGAACTTGTGGGTCAACCCTTTTGCCAAATATGTCATGTCATTGTATTGTAACTGTCTACATGTATGTATATGTCTTATTTTTGGCAATTAAATATGTTTAAATCAAAAACTGGTCAAAATATTTAAGTATACGCTGGGTTTTGGTGCGATAAAATAGCTGTACGCTGTTAAAGGTTCGATATTTTTTCATCATCACATCTGTTGTACATGTTTTCCTATGATTATACGAATAGTTCTACCATATACATGTACGAGGTATGTCCGGAAAGTTCATATACATCTTCATTTTGTATTGTATAACAATGCCTACGCTGTTCAAATTTTGTCAGCATAAATATACATGTCTAGCAAACACATTTATCAAAAATTATTGAACTGTGACTTACGTTTGTATTTTAACAGTATTTACATACAACATATATACATCGTCATGGAGCACTTTGACAGCGTCAACGGCGTCAAATTAACTTAATGTTTACCTACTATTCAATTTCTTCCGATTTCAATAGCCATGGTACCTGTCTGGCATATACTTAATACATGTAATGTTCCTTTGCTATTACGCCATGAATTTCATATTTAAAATTATTATTTAAAATCAAAGATGTCACTGGTTCCCATACAGTATGTGAGATGTCTGCCTTTTTCAAAAATTGTAACGCAATCTACGATATTTGGCCATGCTACTTTTGGTCGTCTGGAGCGTTTCTTATACGACATCCTGTCATCACCGCTTCTTAATCTTGTTTGACATTTAAACACAAGTTGCCTTTAACATTTTATGGTTGATTTTGTTTTTAAAAGTAAAGATTAAAATCTCATTTGGCGCCATATTAGCGTTGCTATGAAGTTAAACATCATTACGTTGCTCCGTCTGTGAATTTGATGTCATTTTTGCAACACAAAATTTACGCACCTTCATTGCCTATAATTGTCTTTTACAAGCTGTTTGTTTAGTATGACGTCATAATTTACACTAAATATCATGTAATAGTATCCTATGATGCCACACAATTAAAAGGAGAGTTTGCGTTAAAATTGCAACTTTTAGCAACTAATTATTCAAGTAGCTAGAGTTATGAAATCAAAGTGCTTCGTGATTCGTTGATCATGTTGCCATAGTGATTTGCGCTTTACAGATATTTATTTTATCATGACTTTTAGTTTAGAAATATGTAGCAAATAAATACTTTAGCAAAATATTCAATCATCAAATTGATATGACTGTTTATAATAATTTTATAGCCTTGTCTACGAACTTTCCGGACAGCCCTCGTATGTGTTCGTTTCCGGATTTCTGGATAAAAAAACGTCACCATCACCATCCATATAAGTGTTACTATTTGAATTAAATTTTAATAATTAGATATCTACCTGTGAGTTGGAAAAAGTAACCTTTACTCTAAGCTCATAGATAACTATATTTCTTGTCATCTCTCAATTTTTTAAAAACGTTCATAGCTACTGTATCTTTATTCCAAAAATGTGTCGCCCTTTTCAACAACAAGAGTCTTGCTTTTTTTACTTTATCTTGTTTGTGATTTATTTTTTCTTTTGATCATGGAATTTGTTGGGTTTTTTTCTGTAGCCTAATTTATAACTGAAGAATCAATGCAATTTAATTTTGTAGTTTATTTTCCACTTTCGTTCATCTATGATATGTCTGACATTTGATTTTGCTCTTGATATTAATTAGGCAATACTGTATTATTACTGAATTATTTCGCGCTTAAGATATTAGCGCTTTTCGCGCTGAATTCATTTCCGTGAATATTTGTACCCGCGAATAAGTTGCATGTAACAAATCCGCGAACATTTGTACCTTAGTTATCATCATGTCATTAAGAAGTACTATGCTAAATAATTCATAACTTTTACCTATACCTAACTGGTATTGTCTTGTCTTGCATGTATAGAATGTACAAATACAGAGACCTTATTGTGATATTAGTAATACATATTCTCTTTACCCCTCGCGAAATCGTAATTGACTTTTATCTTGCTTTACCTATCTTAAATGTCTATATTTTTACACATCATTACATTTACTCATTTGTTTTTCTTTTCAGTGTCTAAAGATGCCACGATATAAGAAGAAAACTCATTTGAGACTTTATAAAAAATGTCAACGTAAAAGAAAACTTGAAACATCGACATCACATCAACATAAATATGTAATTTATAATAGAAAACATATTATTAAATGATAAAACCTTTACTGAATAAATGGACTAAACAAAACGAATATTATCGTTACTATTGGTTATTTGATAGAATTTTAAGTTTCTGTGCAATAACTTATCTAATTTTAATATTTAACCTCTTGAGAGAAAAGAATATTTAAATTAACTATATCATAGTATAATACATTGATTGACACTGTTGTTTTAATTGACACTGTGATTTGCGTATGATTAGCATATAAACACAAAGCTTGATATTTCTTCAATATTGAAAAACAATGTACTGTAATGAGTAATTCTCCGTCGCTACAGAAATGCACACCAAAATTTGTGCGTACAGTTGGTTATCGGACCAAATATTAGGCGTACAGTAAGAAAACTGGAAATATTGTATATATTTTCGGATAGATATATGGAAAACTACTCTTGTATATTGTTTTGTTATCAAAAATAAACATGTTGGGACTTAAACTAATCGAGTATATCGTTTTAAAACTACTGATACATTATTCGTTTGCATGTGTATATCAGGTTGACGGTTGAATTTGCAGTAACAAATACCCCAATAACTTCCTCAATACTATAACATTTAGTATTTTATTTTGACGATCATGCACAATTAGAAGTTCTGATCATCATGCACAATGCTATTCTTCTAGAAATTACAATAGACAACAAATATTTGGGGGAAAAAACATGCTCATACCCACTTTCGTTTTCGTATTCGTCGGTCATTAGTCCGTATCGCATGATTTCACCTCGCTTCGTGTTTCAGTAAAAATTTGTAAATGTTACATTGCTCAATTTTAAACATTAAAACTATCTTTACTTTGTCACTCAAAACTTATTTTTTTCAACAAACAAGAACAATATTAGAAAATCATGATTGTTTAGGACGTATGCACACATTTAATGGACTATTATTGCTTTTTGCATGAATTTGTAAAATGTTCTACTATACGTAAAAAACTAAATTTTTGCACAAAAGTTTTGTTGCATCTGTATGTGTGTCACATTGGTAAAAATATATAGAGATTTAATCCTTTCTATTTCAGGTTGTAAATTTTTTTATTTACTTTACTTTATTTTTCAAATTAATTTGATAAACACGACAGCCTTTTTTTTATATCACACACTCAGTCCCAACGTTGGTTAATAAAACATTTGCTCGGACACACTGACTGCATGCACGGCTCTTAAAAAAGGCCGTGCTGCATGTTTAATAATTTCAATAGCATCGTCTGACCGTGACACTTCATAATTTAGTAGTCGTTAGCCTATTAAAACAAAGTGCTTGATTTTGAAATAATCATTTTGTGTTTATGAATTGAGTATTTATTATACTTATAGATATGTAGAATCAATATTATATTCCTTTTGCCTTTGCTGCAAACTTAAGGCTGTGTAGGTATGTGTTCATTTTTATCATTAGTTTTCGCGATCGCGTGAGCTGTCAAAATTTTTGTTGTGAAGTTTTTAGAAAAGTGTTTAAATAGTTAAAGCTGTCCCTTGGACACCATAGCATTAGGTGTAAGAGAAATGGTCACAGTTTCGTGTATAGATAAATGAGTATCATATACACGTTTATATTTTTTCTTGTAGAAGCTGGATAATAATGCTTAAGTGGTTAGTTTCCGGATAGCGCCAGTTTCGTCTACTCAATACCACACTCTATTTCAACTTAGTTAAAACCGTTATAATATTCTTTCCTGGACAGTATCAGTTTAAATTCTCTACTGGCATGCAAACAGTTCCCGTACAAAAAAATCGCAGTTGGTTAAAAATTATTTTTCATCACTCTCACTCACCAAAAAATTGAATGTTACACGCCAATTAAAACCGTTATAATATTCTTTCCTGGACAGTATCAGTTTAAATTCTCTACTGGTCACACAAATTTTGGAATTTCCATTATGTTCTAAACATAGAATAACCGAATAACCCTTAGTTATGAGGCCTGATATGGGATACCGAAATTATCCATTATTTTGTAAGAACAGAAGTAGTTCCAGTACATAAAATATAACCCATTATAATTATATGTACAGTGTTGTTATATCAGACCTATTTTTCATTTATAATTGTTGGAGAGACCATATTCCCAGAGGTAAATAGATGTAATTCTGGAAATGGAGCATAGACTAAATGCTGGTATCTATTACCCGGTACTGTTAACCAAATTCACATGCAATGGCGTGCTTGTATGCATGATAATTGACTTATTAAAACCATAAAACAATTTAATATAGTAATATAGTAAACCTTCTGATAATTAAACAGGTTTTCAATACATTGCCCATTAAGACTTATCTGTACTCAGGTGGTATTAGTGAAAAACCCTTTAACAGGCGTCATATGTAAGTTGTTAGTATGTTTGCGCGTCCACACAAGGACAGAATCCCCCAACAAAGTCACTTTTTGATAACACACAGGTGATAGTTATTTAAAATGAAAACTTTTTAAACATATTGCTGAACTGACACTTAGATTTTGTCTTGTTCATACAACTGCTTGATTTTATATCATTTTTTAAAGAATTTAAGTAAAAATCTAGCATTTAAACGAAAGATATAGGTACTGCTACTGTACGAAAACTGCTAGCATGCCAGTATAAATGTGATATTTTCCAAACTACACATTTCTAAACTTAAGGGTTAGACACATTGGTATCATTTGTATGTAAAAATAAACAGTTCTTGAATTAATTTATAAGTTAAGCAGTGTGTGTCAATTGTGATTGGAAGATTGTTTGTTGATTTGTTTTCCCATGTATGCCTACCCATCCATTTTAAGTAACACCAGGGTGTCATAACCAGAAACTGCAATGGTACTGATTGTCAGGAAGTTGTAAGAAAGTCTGAATTTGAACCCATGATCTCTAGGTAAGAAGTCTGATGCTGTGCACCACATTTCCTCAAAATAATGTCACCAATCTAGTATATATAGACTATTTATATATTTGTCCAATCATTCTTTTGTGATTATAATTTTATATTTTGTTATTGAAGGTAAAATGGGGGCAGAAAGCAGTATTTTAGAAGACTGTCAGTGGGAAGATGGAACGACAGATGGTGTCTGGACGTTGACCCATGGGAAACTTTCTGATGACTCTGAGATTAGTCAGTTTTCACTGAAGAAGCAAGACAAAAATCTTCAAGATATTCTCAGAAAGTATATCAAGGTAGGTTATGCAATGGCAGTATACAGGGCTTTCATAATCATAACAAAAATCTGATTCTTGATATTAAAACCTTTCACCATGATGATTTGAATTTAATTTATGGTAATGATTGAAACCATTCATCATACAGTGCTGGTTATAATGATTTCAAAGTTGGTACGTATCTTTTGAAAAATATATCATAACTTTAGAATCCGGGGATACTCTTTTTTCAACTGTCTGTCAGAAGTTGACTGAAATATTGTTGAATTGAAAGTAAATAAAAACAAAAACAAAGTCTTAAATGATTTTATTTGTAAATTAAAATTTATTGTCAGAGCCACATAGATGTGTATTAGATACTCCATGTACTGTTGGTGCACATTTTATTCCTTTCTTTCCATGTCATTACTACTGATATGATGAATAGACCTTGGCAAACTTGTATATTATTTTGATGAGAAGACTAGTTGTATATGAAGCTGATCTTCTTCCTTCTTGAATTTTGTCATATACAATACATCAGTGTTAATGGTAGATGTCTAGTTTTTATTGGTTCATTTTAACTTAAGACATTCTAAAATTGTTGCTTATTTTATCTTAATATATCATGAATACATCAACAAGATGTTCAGATAAAAGTGTTTGTATCCTATTGATACATGCTGAGATTTTACTCTATTGTATAGTGGCTGATTTGGTACGCTTTTGTGCGTCTAGTTGGCGCTAGTGACAACACAACAATGCGCTAAAGGGTGCATTGTAAGACTTTAGTCTTTTAGCCCTGTCGCTAACTACAACACGTCAAAGTGCCAAACCGCAAGGTGATCACTGTCGTCCTGTCTCTAGTAAAGCACGCCTAACGGCGCGTTGTTGTCTGGCACAATGTCACCCTGTCGCTTGGCTTATAAGCCAATCCTTTGATTTGAACTGAGCGACAATGTGACATGGGGACAACACGCAGCATGACAACACGGGGTTTGGCGTGCATCGTAAGCGACAGGACAACAAGATGAAAGTACAACCACGCGCCATTTGGCGCGTTCTCGTGTTGTCGCTAGCGCAACTGGATGCACAAAAGCGTAGCAAATCAGCCACCATACCATTGAGCAGTTTGTGTTTTTACTTTTCCAACAGAATCTCAAAATTATACGCCATCCTTCGGTCTTGACTTACGTATGTTCCCAAGAAGGAGCAAATGGACCAGAACTTATTACAGAAAAAGCTATACCTTTAGAGACAGTATTACCAAACCTGTCATCATCTGAAATTTGTGCTGGACTACACACAATACTTGAAGCTCTACAGTTTCTACATGAAAAGGTTTGTATGATATCCTAGCCTTGAAATTAAAAAACTTTTTGTCAGAGATCAGTCTCGAATATTTTGTCTTGAACAATAGAGTGAGAAAATGACCTGAAATTTTGTACACAACTTATATGTATAGACCTGCAACAAATGGAACTTTAATCTTGAAAAAAATTTATTTCAAGTCCTATCATGTCAAAAAAATCTCAGTGGAGTCCCTTTATAAAGAATCATGTAAAGTGTAATGGTTTGGGAATCATGAAGAGTAAAGTGTAATGTTTAAATAATTTAAATTTAAGAATACTGTAGTGGAATAAGATATGGCGGTGGTGGTGTTGGTAGTTTTCACTCCGGATCACTTAATTAAGCCACATTGCATTTACATGTACCAGGGCACAGTTCAGCCACCACATCATTCCTGGGCAGGCTGTCAAGCAGTTTACCAGTATTAGTTGCCTTCACCTTCACAAGGAACTGATTACTTCTGTTCACGCTAGAGCAGAGGTACTGTGCAAATAACTGTAGAAAGGATTTCATGATCAATCACAACAAATAAGATATAATTGTTTTCCTTGTTATTACAGGTCGGTGCTAGCCATAATAACATAATTGTTTGCCTTGTTGTTACAGGTCGGTGCTAGCCATAATAACATAATTGTTTGCCTTGTTATTACAGGTCGGTGCTAGCAATAATAACATAATTGTTCGCCTTTTTATTATAGGACTGTGCTAGCCATAATAACATAATTGTTTGCCTTGTTATTACAGGACTGTGCTAGCCATAATAACATAATTGTTTGCCTTGTTATTACAGGACTGTGCTAGCCATAATAACATAATTGTTCGCCTTGTTATTACAGGACTGTGCTAGCCATAATAACATAATTGTTCGCCTTGTTATTACAGGACTGTGCTAGCCATAATAACATAATTGTTTTCCTTGTTATAACAGGTTGGTGCTAGCCATAATAACATAATTATTTGCCTCGTTATTACAGGTCGGTGCTAGCCATAATAACATAATTGTTTGCCTCGTTATTACAGGTCGGTGCTAGCCATAATAACATAATTGCTTGCCTCGTTATTACAGGTCGGTGCTAACCATAATAACATAATTGCTTGCCTCGTTATTACAGGTCGGTGCTAGCCATAATAACATAATTGCTTGCCTTGTTATTACAGGTCGGTGCTAGCCATAATAACATAATTGTTTACCTTGTTATTACAGGTTGGTGCTAGCCATAATAACATAATTGTTTGCCTTGTTATTACAGGTCGGTGCTAGCCATAATAACACAATTGTTTGCCTTGTTATTACAGGTCGGTGCTAGCCATAATAACATAATTGTTTGCCTTGTTATTACAGGTCGGTGCTAGCCGTAATAACATAATTGTTTGCTTTGTTATTACAGGGCGGTGCTAGCCGTAATAACATAATTGTTTGCCTTGTTATTACAGGGCGGTGCTAGCCATAATAACATAATTGTTTGCCTTGTTATTACAGGTCGGTGCTAGCCATAATAACATAATTGTTTGCCTTGTTATTACAGGTCGGTGCTAGCCATAATAACACAATTGTTTGCCTTGTTATTACAGGTCGGTGCTAGCCATAGTAACATAATTGTTTGCCTTGTTATTACAGGTCGGTGCTAGCCATAGTAACATAATTGTTTGCCTTGTTATTACAGGTCGGTGCTAGCCAAAATAACATAATTGTTTGCCTTGTTATGACAGGTCGGTGCTAGCCATAATAACATAATTTTTTGCCTTGTTATTACAGGTTGGTGCTAGCCATAATAACATAATTGTTTGCCTTGTTATTACAGGTCAGTGCTAGCCATAATAACATAATTGTTTGCCTTGTTATTACAGGTTGGTGCTAGCCATAATAACCTCCATCTAGGTGCTATATATGTAACGGTAGATGGAAGCTGGAGACTTGGTGCGTTACAACATCTGTGTAAATTTTCAGAAGCAACACCAGCATTTCTTGAAGGTAACAAAGCCTACAGGGATGAGTGTACTGTAACACCCGAGGAAAAGGTAATATGTTATGTGACTTGTTTATGATACAGTCACGCATGATTTCCCGTCCATGTGAAGTTAGCTTTAAGTTTCATATGCACAATCATTTAATTTCTGTTAAATAATGCTAGGCTATAAATAAGAACAGCTTCAAGTTTCACATACCTGTGCCGATTTTGCGACTTCGAAAAGGCTCACATAATATAACTTTTATTCAACTCGTTCAATAAATTCAGTATTGAACTTACACTCATTCAATATCCTCTATTTATTTAATTTCTGATTAATAAGGCTCGACTGTGAATGAAGATGACAGTTAAATTATGATTGGTTTCTAATTGCATTCAATGAAAGTAAGAACTATATAATCTCTGATTTGGTAAATTGTTCAAAGTATAAGACATGATAAAAGCTGTTCAAGAATACAATAATTATTATACATCATCTGACCTCAAACTAAGGCCACTTATGCCCTGAAAATGATTTTTATTTCTCATAATAATTTATTTTTTGTACTTTTTTTAAATTTTATAATTTCGAAAAAGTTACTCATTATGCTTCCAATTACCTGAACTGTCTTCTTGTGTTGCTTTTTTTGGCAATTAGTACATTTATAAAAAATTAGAGTGATTTAGTATTTTGTATGGAAGTAAAATTAAGAGCTGTCATCATAGAGAGGATATTGATGTATCGTTGATATTTTTCTGTCGATCAATAATTGATACACATTTGAAAAAATCTTTACATAATTGACACATTTCATAGCAGTGATGACAAAAAATAGTTAGGAAAAAAATCAAATCATGCAAAGGACATTTATAAACAGGACACAACATCTTTGTATGAACAGAACATTATTTACTGAAATCATTTAAACAGGTATAAAAGTGAATTATATACCGTATAAGTACTTTTGCTGCGGGAACTTTATTTCTGCTATTTCTTTCACTATGTCTACATGTATGTCGGAATATGTCAACTACCTGTATTGTATAATTATATTACCATGTACCGTTATCAGCTTTTGTAGATGGGAATTTTTCCTTATGTATCCATTATGAATAAAATATTAGAAAAAAAGTAACTTAACTTGTTTTTTTTTGTTTAAAAAATATCATGATTGTATCGGTTAATTTTGTAAAAATATTTAAATTAAAAAGCAGAAATAAAAAAACATCAATGCGAGAATGATGACACTGCAGAATTAAGATACGCAGAAATTTAAAACCCCTTATTTTAACCAAAATCGCAGAATATTAAGACCGCAGAAATAAGTACTTATACGGTACTAGAAAATAGGAGTATATATCAATATACTGGTGTTTCACCGATATTTGTCATCCGATATTGATGTATCATCAACATGCTTTGCAATGAATCAATGACAGCTCTAGTAAAAATATTACTTTGTTTACATTTTGCTACTTTATGACATATTATTTCACATTGGGCACTACTTTCTTCAGGTCACAAGCTTCTAACATGCTCTAAAACCATTATTTTTAAGGTATAAAATCATGTTTGACCTTTCTAAAGAAGTAAATATGCATTCATTTCTGAGGCATTATGTGCCTTTAAAGGATCGGTATCAAAATCAGGATCAAAAATCAAATATTCGTCCATTATTTATCAATTCGTGCTGTGCTATATTAACAAGGTGTTATTTTAGGAAGGGAAAGTGTGTACTGAATCCACAGTTGGCCATGCCAGGGATGTGTATACCTTTGCTGTTATGACAGAATCTCTACTTGAAGGCATGCATGATTTAGGTACTGTATTTTGTTTTTAACATTGCTTTTACTTTATTGTCGTGTTTTTTTTGCATTTAAGAAAAAAAAATACTTGCAATTTTCCATTTAAGGCCAAATATGCACCAAAAATGTTTTTTTTTATTATTCAGAACCTTTTTATTTATGATGTCTTTGAAATGTTACTCATTGGCCAATTAACTGAACCATTGACTTTTGTTTCTGTTTTGGCAATTAGAATAGTTATAGTTTGTAGATGTCAAAATACAGTCTATAAATTCCTACCGATCATTTTCTCTCTATATCTTTAATGTATTAATCTTCTTTTGCTCAACGCGACCAATGACCGCTAATTTGTCAGCTAATTGAGATCAAACTTTTCATTTAACGACCACTAATTGTGTTTTAAGAGAACCCCGCCTCGTAATGTAACAAGACAAAATATATAAATGTGTGAAAAACTCTATTTCCCAAACCGTTTTAGCGTATGCAAATGAAGTTTAGTATATGCATGATGTGATTTATCCAATAATATCGATAAAACAATGCAACAGTCCGTCCCAACTGAGATGGTGTATACGCTTTGCTGTTGATAATTAGACTGCATTGAATTTACCTTGAACTTCAGCAATTAAATTAATCGCTACAATTAGATGTAGATTATTTCAAATGAAAAATGCACAACAGAAAAAAACTTCACTTAAGGTTTTCATGTAGGAGACGCGGAAATTCAACGGAGAAGTTTACGAACTCTGGAAAAATGTCAAACATTTATGTAATTGATCAAAACTGTATTGTCAATGAATGTCAGAAAGTTATTTTTTTACATTAGCACCCATTTAGATTATCGGACCGTTCTAATTATTAAACATTTATATAAATTAAGTTGAAAACATAAACATTCCCACTACAAAAGAAAGATGTCATGTATAAATTTTGACTTTTTATCATGCTTTGCCTTAATAAGAGACCGTTTCATTAAGTGACCATTTTGGGTGTTTCCCTTGCGCGGTCACTAAATACACATTAGACTGTACTACTTTGTTGAATTTATTTTGCTTCTTTTATGACAAATAATTTCTCATTTAGCAGTACTGTATTCAAATACAGAATATAGAACAGTCCATTTGAATTTTAACAAGAAAATACATGCACAAAAAATGAGCTGTCAACAGTGTTGGACCTGTCCTGGTCAGACTGTGCGGACTGGCCGTGCTCTAAACCTATCATTGTTGTTCCAAGCAGGTTATATAATGATATATTGACATTTTGGCATATACATAGTTAGAGAATAAGCTATAATATAAACACTGGATGGTTGCAAACGTTTTGCTATAATCCATGTTCTTTTTGGGGATTAGGCTAGTAAGCCAAAACCAAGAAAGAAGGAGGCATACTAGCTCGAACTACACCAGACTTTATGGTTTTAACATGAATATGTCTTATTTCCAGTGTTAGTTATATACCTGTATATCATATTTTCATTCATTTTGTCTGATGTTTCTTAGCCAGTTATGCCAAAAAATAAAGATTTATAAGTCTATCACTTGCTTTGTGGTTTTAACTTGATTGAGTTTAAATGGTAATATATTCTTATGCTGAACTTAATTCCGACATTGTGAATATATGTGAGATTTCAATGTTAAAGGGGCTGCACTTGGGGTCTAAAAAGGCCTAAAATTATGAAGTAAAAAAAAATCAAATTCTTACAATGATCAACTTGGACACTTAAATCTGTAAAAAAAAAAAGTATATGATAATAAAAAATATGTTCAAAATAAAATCAAACAACAATATTTTGTTTGATTCTTTGCCAAATTTGTGTTAAAAGTGTATACATGTTTTTCATTTTTGAGTCATTTTACACACTTAAAATAAACAGTTAGAGCTGAACAAAGGTTATTATTGGTCCAGACCTCCATCAAATGGGACAAAAACTTCAAAAAATAATTCCAGTCCTGTTATGCCCAAAAACTTCAGTGAGGGGAGTCCCTTTAAGATGCCGGTGATGTATACATGGTATAGTTATAACACATATATGATTGTGTATTTTTATTTTATTGTAGGGGATTTAACGAAGAGTTTTGAGCAAAGAATACAAGAGGAATGTCTGCATAAAAACCCTAAACACAGACCTTCTGTATCCTCGTTACTTACTGATAGGATTTTTAAGTGAGTGCATTTATAATAATTTTGTTATTTTTCAATTTTTATCATAATGGTTTTTAAAATCCGTTGAAATATTAAACTGCTTTTTAATGTAAAGGTATAGAATATAATTTTTGGTATTTTTTCACAAATTTATCTGGCACAGGCAGGAAAAATAAAACAAGAATTTACCGGCCAACAATTTCACAGGTCGTGCTCAGAAGTGGGGGAAAAAAGAATTTTTAAGGATGGCCAATTTGTATTAAACTATAATTTTAAACTATTAATTATTTGTATAAACTAACATTTTATCTGCGTTTTGGGTTTTTCAAATTGTTCAACTGTTAGACATATATAATTTATGGTTACCTTTTGATTTTTAGCTCACCTGAGCACGAAGTGCTCAAAGGTGAGCTTTTGTCATCACTCTGCGTGCGTCGTGCGTCGTGCGTCCTTCAAAAAATGGCGTCAAACTTTTCAAACAACATCTCCTCCTAAACTACATGGCCAATTGCAACCAAACTTTACAGAAATGATCCTTAGGTGGACCCCTTTCAAAGTTGTTCAAAAATTTAAATTCCATTAAAAACTCTGGTTGCCATGGCAACCAATAAGAAAAACTTAAAAAATCTTCTTCTAAAAAACCGTAAGAGCTAGAGCTTAGATATTTGGCATGAAACATCTTCTAATGAGTGCCTACCAAGTTTGTTCAAATCAAAGCCCTAGGGTCAAAATTGGCCCCGCCCCAGGGGGTCATTGATTTTCCCTATATGCATATAGTAAAAACTTAAAAAATCTTCTTTTAAAGAACTCAAAGAGCTAGAGCTAAGATATTTAGCATGAAACATGTTCTAATAGGTGTCTACCAAGTTTGTTCAAATAAAAGCCCTGGGGTCAAAATTGGCTCCCCCGGGGGTCATTGATTTTCCTTATATGTGTATAGCAAAAACTTAAAAAATCTTCTTTAAAAAAACCCAAATAGCTGGAGTTTAGCTATTAAGCATGAAACATCTTCTAGTGAGTGTCTACAAAGTTTGTTCAAATCAAAGCCCTGGGGTCAAAATTGGCCCCGCCCCGGGGGTCATTGATTTTCCTTTATTAATATATGACTGTGTATAGCAAAAACTTAAAAATCTTCTTTGAAAAAACCCAGATAGCTAGTGTTTAGATATAAAGCATGAAACATCTTCTAGTGAGTGTCTACCAAGTTTGTTCAAATAAAAGCCCTAGGGTCAAAATTGGCCCCGCCCCGGGGGGTCATTGATTTTCCCTATATGCATATAGTTAAAAACTTAAAAAATCTTCTTTTAAAGAACCCAAAGAGTAGAGCTAAGATATTTAGCATGAAACATGTTCTCATGGGTGTCTACCAAGTTTGTTCAAATAAAAGCCCTGGGGTCAAAATTGGCCCCGCCCCGGGGTCATTCATTAGCATGACTTTTTTTTTTTAGATATATACATATTATATATATACACATATATATATATATAATGTATATATATATATATATATATATATATATATATATATATATATATATATATATATATATATATATATATATATATATATATATATATATATACATATATATATATACATATTATGTATATATATATATATATATATGTATGTATATATATATATATATACATGCATACATATACAACCAAGTTTGTTCAAATAAAAGCCCTGGGGTTAAAAACTGGCCCGCTCCAGGGGCCTATATACAGGTGAGCGACTTTGGGCCATCATGGCCCTCTTGTTTTAGGTGTTCATCATTTGCTTACTTTTTTTAAGAGAACTTGACTATATTTTTTTTGTAAAGCTGTGTCTTTAAATTTTATTATTTAATTATCTGTTTATTTATTTTTTTTGCAGCACAACTTTTTTGGAGATTTCCCTGTTTTTGAAGAACATAACGCTGAAAAGTGAGGCAGAAAGGAAATCATTTTTCAAGTAAGATTCTGCTTTGTAAAATTTCTACACAAGTTTATTATAAAGAATTATCAATTTTATGTAGTATTTAAGTATTAAATTCAGGAGTAAATGCTCGGTGGTGGTAAAAATAGTGGTGGTAAAAAGTGGTATGAAAGTGTGGTAAAATAGTGCTGAAAGTGGTGACAAATATAGTGGTCATTAATAAAGTGGCAAAAAATATCTGGAAAAAAAATTGTGGTGACAGTGGTGGAAATAGTAATGATGAAAGTGAAGTTGTAATAAAAATAGTGGAAGTGGGGAAATTGATGGTGAAATAAGATATGAATGTGGTGGTAAATATAGATGTAAAGTTGTAAAATAGTGGTGAAAAGAGGTGATAATTTTTTTTTGTGAAAGTGGTAGTGAAATAGTGGTGAAATATCATTTTGTAACAAAGTATTTGGCTCTATTCCACACCCCCCACACCCAACTCTGTGGAGTTCCTTTAAAGGAAGTAATTGACATATATTTATGATTTATGTAGTTCTTTTTTGTCTGTGCGTGTTTCAGAAATCTGTTGCAAATGTTACACAGTCTACCGAAAGAATTGGTAGCACGTAGACTGGTACCGGGGCTACTTTCTAGATTTGTGTTCATGGACCAGACTGCTGTGAAATATGTTTTACCCAGTCTACTCACCCCTCAGAGAGGTAAAATAATGTTAATTATGTTAAAGCAGCATGCCTCCAGATTAATGCTAATTTTCATGAAAAATTTAAAAATGTATTTAAAAGTAAAATAATGTGAAGTAAAAAAAGAAAGTAACTTACACATTGCAAACAGCACTTACAATTCACGTTAATTACCAAAAGAGGTCAAAATATACATAAATACCTCTTGCAGCCTTAGTAACGCAGTAGAATTATAGTGATTGATACTGCAAAATTAGTCATTAATCGCACATAACATGTAGATAATTAATTAAAAATTGAATATTTTTACTATTCTTAAGATCTTAATACATTTTTTCTAAAGATCGAATTTCTTGAAATAATTTGGCTCATCTGGAGGCGTGCAGCTTCAAGGTGTTTAAAGCTATATATCTGCTTCAAAAATTATTGTTTGAATTTTAAAAAAAGAATACTTCCAAAATGCTTGTATGAAATAAACATGGTAGATAATAGCCTTAAAAAAGCGAATGGTGCATGCACAAAACCATAGCTAAACAGATAAAAACCCTACAATACAGTAGCAAAAAATATTTTGTTCTGAAACATTTTATACTGTTTACATACAATATTCATGTGTGCTAAATAACAGAGACATTCTATGTTACAACTTTTTTTGGAATCAACCATATAATAATGGAACCTATATAATTTTACTGTTGATAAATTTTATAAAAAAATTTTCATAAGACATAGATTTAAACACTTTAATAATAATGTAAATAATATTTTAATTTTTTAGGTTGGGTATTAATTCTTACCAACACTGTAACGGTCTTAATCTAGATTTACTCATAAAAAAGAGCTTGGGTGCCCTTCCATGCATTATTTTAGGCATGAGCCCACATATTTCACATACACTAAAATTGTAAAGATGAATACAAATAGTAAAGATATACACTCTGAATTTAATTGAAATTCCTATTTTCGTTTCGATATAAGTTAAAGTGACATTATGCTCATTCGAGGGTATACAGTGAGTGAACAGGTGAAAGTCAGAATAAGTTTATATAGAGCCATGATTCCTTTTAATTCAGTAATTTTCTTCATATAAACAAAAAATAAATCCCGGATCAAAACGGAATTTCTGTTCATATCAATTAGAACTTACCTGAAACGTTTAGTTTATAAAAAGAGTGGGGCAGTCTTTTTATATTTTAGGCAGATTTTAAATTTTATCCTAAACATTTTACAAAATAAACTGTTGGTCAAACACCATTTTAACAGTCAATCTTTTGAAATAAAAAGTCTATTCAGCTCAACTTGATTATGAAAATATGAGCATAATGTCACTTTAAATGGGTGATATTTTTTTTGGTCATTTTCACAAAGTGTTCAAATTCTTGATGTAATTTACTGTCAGTAAAACGTTTTTTTTAGCTTTGGATGACATAAAAAAAGTATTTTGAACACCATAAGAAGTATATTCTTTTAAACCTGATCTGGTTACTCTAACAATATATTATTAACTGTTGTAATTGCAGGTGGTAATACACAGCATGGGGCAATTCAACCGTTGTTGTCGGACGATCTCTTTAAGCAGTATGTTGTGCCAAAATTGGTGAAGATTTTAGCTGTTCATGATTGTCATATCCACATACTTCTACTACAGTATTTCCCGAAGTTTGTTCATCTGATAGACATGGAAGACCTCGAGTTTGAAGTCTTTCCTCAGGTACTCCTATTTACATGTACGCACTCGCATCTCATGGTATATTTTATAATAACTTACAGCACTCTGGTGGCAACTGCTTGTACCCATGCAACCAGTGCATGACCCAAGATCAAATTAATTGAACAGGCACCTGAGTAGAACCAACGTCGTTCCGTAAGCTAGCTTGATAGCTTCCTCACATGAAAGAATCCAAAGTCCCTGTCGGGGATTCGAACCCATAGCGGTGAGGGGCAAGTGGTTTGAAGTCAACAACCTTAACCACTCGGCCACGGACGTCCCTTAAAATCTTTGAAAATAAGGGCTACTTCTGTTATAGTGCTTAAATGTTTGAAGATGCCATCCTATACAGTGATTCTTTGCATTCATTTAATCACTGCAAAATTTCAGTCATGCATTTTTTCCGATTTTTATTAAAACATCGCTGAAATTCCCAATTCCATGGGTATGGGTCATGTCCCCATAATCTTGGAAAGAAATCCTGATACAACTTTGAATGGTATGAGTAGAGCTGCTGTCTTAGTAGATTGAGCTGTATGTGTATATATTTGATACAAAGTTATACAGATCATAGTCTTATTTAATATTGATAACCTTCAATTTTCTATTATATTTTACAATAAATTTCTATTATATTTTACAATAATCTATTTGAATATGTTTTATGTGGAAAGTAGCATACAAATTTGGGTTAGAAATTCATAAAAAAAAGGAAATCCCTTGAAAGCAGCTGAAAACATCAACAAATATGTGAAAATAGCAGGCTCAGTCCTGCAAGTCTATTTATGACAGACAAGAACAGTGCAATAATTCTCATGCCCTATATACTTTTAGCAATACTTAATCTTTGATATTAAAAGTACTGGTAATGATCCCAAGGGACCCGGAGAATATAACAACATTTATTATATACTTATATAATTATGAAATATTAAGAAATATTGATGAAATAAGGTGCATATTTTTACTTTCTGTATTTTCACTGTGAAAATTTATTTTTCACTGCATTGAAACATATTTTCCATATTTTCACTAGTCTCTTGTTGGACTACTTTCTTCTAAATTCAGCCAATAAACGAAATTTAAAGGAAATTCTTCCTATGTATAAGGTTAAAATAGAGAAAAAGTATGTAATAAACAAAAAATACAAGTTTTTTTTTAATATCAATACAGGATTTATTTTCATCTTGTGGTATGAAAATTATTTTATATTTCACTCATGGATACTGCCACTCGTGAAATACTTGCATACCACTCGATGAAAATAAATCCTATTTTTATAGAAGAAAATTCACTGAGATGGGGCAATTCACTCAGCACTTTTATATCTGCTTTTGTGAATGCAAACGTTCTGCAAAGGTGATAACAAAAAGTTGAAAATCGCAGACTCAGTTTAAAAGGTTATTCTGAGTAGTGAGTATAATATATTAGAATTTATTAGATGTTAGCCATAAGAAATAATTTGTTGATATTCCAGATACTACTTGGATTGAGAGATAGCAGCGAGCAAATAGCAGCACTTAGTTTACACGCCCTCGCAGAAATGGTTCCTATTCTAGGCCGAGAGATTGTCATAGGTGGGAAATCAAAGACATTTTTCAAAGAAAGGCAACCTAAGGTATTCTCTTTTTTACATTGCATTACACTTATAAGATAAGCTTCCATTACATGTAAATATGTTTAAAAAAAAAATTATATATTATAGGAAGAGCTTTAGTAATCTTTGGGTGGCGGCATGGCCGAGTAGTAAACGCTTCCGACTAGTTATCTTAAGATCGCTAGCCGCATGGGTTCAAACCCTGACAGGAGCAAGTCGTTGTTTCCTTGAGCAAGAAACTTTACACTCATTGCTCAGTACTGGTTGGTTCCAGGAACAGGTGCTTTCATCATTTGCAACAAAATCTAAATGTAAACCATAATTCAAGTATTTTTAAAGTTACCATCTTGAAACTTAAAATATTTGGTTATCTTGACAAGTTGCAGTTATTTTAGACAAGGGACGTCATTCTGAAAGGTATATTATTTGGAGTTGTGGCCCATTTTTACTCAAAAGTTTTTTTTGTGAAAAGTGGTAAAAGATGAGTTTCAACAACTTCATATCTTGGAGGCTCTTATTAAAGTTGTACTCTTATTTAAAACAACTTAAGAAGAATAGAAATCAAATGCCATAATTTATGAGGATTTTTGTCAGAGTTCTTCCACCTTAACCATTGTTTAATTTAATGGTCTATGTTCCTTTGCTATGTTTCAGGGGCATGGCAACTTTTTAAACTCTCCGTTAAACAATCAGCAGTTAAATAGTGGGAAAATGAAACTGATTGACTTGGTGAAACACAGGTACATGTACATTAATTTTTGTGCTTCAAACCTCATGTATGTAAGTGTACGATTTTTACTCAGGTCCCAAAGCTTAAAAACAAAATAAAATCAGATTTCTCTATTTTTGGACAGATCATCTGGCGTACTTTGAACAAGAAATATGCGAAATATGATATTAAAGAAATGTTCTCAAGTAATTATTTTCACATGATTCTTAGCACCACTTGAGTAAAGAGTAAAAAGCGTTTTTGGATCATTTTGGGCAATAAAAATGATAATCCTTAAAAAAATTTAGTCAGGGAGTGATCAGCTAGGTCACAGGTCAGTGGTTTCTACTCGGGGTACCTGCTGAGTTCTTCCTCCATCTATAAAGCATGTAAATTTTTAATTCATTTTAAAATAAAATATTTTATGACAGTCACCATCAATCTTGATGTATGCTGTTTCAATTTTTCATCTTGATATACCCAAAATTGATAATGGACACTTTCAAAAAAATGGAAGCTGGACAAGTCCTTTTAAGAAATTTATTAAGAGTGATGAAGCTGTTTAAATTTATTCAATAGCTTTGTAACTCTCATCTCTGTATATTACAAACCAGTCCCACAAAGGTCAATAAAGAGGATTCAGCAGAAAAGAGGAAAGAAAAAGAATTAAAGAGGGAAGAGTGGAGAAGGAAAAGGGAAGAAAAGAAAGCATTAAAGGAGAAGAGAAAAGGTATCTACATGTATCTGATGATACTGGTGTAAAAAATCAAAATTTCTAGGGGTAGTACAGTGAGGATTTTATGACCCCTGGGCAAAACTCAAAATAGATTTTTGCTAGACTAGTCTAAGAATAGGGACAGCTGTTGTATTCACCAGTGTGTTTGGGAAGTACTTTAGTTAAGCTTTTGCGTGCCAGAGTTTTTTTTTTACAAATTGACACCGATAGTCAGCGTCTTCCCCTCGGAAAATAGCCAAGTTTTTTCCCCATTATTAAGATGTTGTACTGCAAATAATAATACTTTGCATGATGATAAAGTATTTAAGGAAAACCAGATATTGTTGTGATTCTCTACTATGTAGTTTAGTATACAGTATGTATAACAGTATTTTCTGTTTACATTTTAATTTTCCCCCAAATTGACTTTTTTCATATATTTTTCCCCTCCTTACCAGCGTCCAGCGTCTTCCCCTTTTCCTAAAAAAAAACCCCTGCATGCAAGTTAGTATCTCAAAACTACTGAGGTCATGTGCCCTATGTTACAGGCAGCTTGTGTTGCTGTAAGAAGTCTGTTTATTGGAATATAAATAAAATAGATACACACGGATTCTTGGTATACATGTATTTGGTAAAGTAGGTAGCCACTGGTATTTATTAAAGTAAATTAGATTTAGTAAAGTAGGTAGCCACAGGTAATTATTCAAGGAATATTTAAAAATGGGTTGGTGCTTGAATTCAATCAAGGAAAACTTGGTAAGTTTAATATACTGTTAATAAGTGGACAGTTTCTAATACCGGTATTATGTTTGCTTGTATTATAAAAATTGTTAGTACATGTTTATAGAAACTTTTTAACAACAGCAGTATTTTCTTGGTTAGATAGCTGTTTTCAATATACAAGGTACTGAAATTTTAAAAGAATATAACTAAAATACTGTAATAGTTTTTGTTGATTTGCAAATGTGTATACGATCCCTTAAACTGCTTTATTTTAGAAACATGTATAGACGTCAATGAAAGTGCTGTACCAGTTTTGATGTCTGAGAAGGTATCTGAAATAGTTGATAATTTACAATCTGAAGACACGCTACCTACCACTGAAGATGAGACAGATTTTACTACTATACCAGATACCCATGTTAAACATTCCATAAACAATGATTTCTCAAAGACAAATAGTGTAGAGGATGTGACTGGTGATTGGTCAGACTGGAGTGATGAGGCGGGCCATTCTGATAATAGTGAAGCAATAGGGGAGGAGCTATCAATAGAGGAGGGGCTTACTAAAGAGGAGGGGTTAAAAACCACCAGTACCTCCTCCCCATCATCCAATCAGGACCATTCAATTCCTCGATCTACAGGACATGCAATGAAAATAGGGACAAAGAAACATAAGGAAACAAATAGTGTAAATGATAAAAAGTTGAATGATATAGAGTTATCAGAAGAATTTAAGAACATCAACTTGTCTTCTAAAAGAACTGTTCATTCAAACAATAAAAAGGAACTTGGTTCAGAATTCGATATCAAGAATCTCGAAGTGAAGGTATCCAGTGAGAAAAGTGACCCATTCGATTTTTTCTCGGACATGTCTCCAAAAATAGAAATTAAAAAGACAAAATTACTTGAAGAATTGACAAGTGATAAATTAGAAAGCAGTTTCCAGTCAAAAGAAGTGCACAATAAGTTCAGTCTAGATGTACAGGATGCCAATGCTGGTGTAAGTAGATTTGTTTTTTTTACCCCTGAATCATTTCTCTTTAAATCACGAATTATTATTCACTATAGAGGTAATGTTCAGTGTAAATAATACTATTTACCTTTTATTGTGAACAGCTGTATTTGTATAAGGCTATTCTGTTGGCTGCTAAAATTAAATGTCAGTGCAGTTGTGCCTTGCCTCATTAATTTTTTATCAAAATCAGTTGACTTGAAAACTAATTCAATCTGATTAGATTCAGATCCTAAATAACGCTACGCATTAGGATCTGACATTCACCCATAGGTAGTCACCTTCTCGTGGTCTTTGAAACAAGCAATCATTGGCGAGCTTTCATTATTTTGAAAGCAAATTTTAACCCTAAGAAAACCAAAACTGAGTATGTAAATTTCATGATTTCGAGAACAAAAGGGAAAACACATGGTCTTTGAGTACATTATTTTCTTTGTGACAGTCATAAACCTATTAAATTATGCTTCTGACTTCAGTAATTCATAGAGTAATTAAAAGTGATTTCCTTAATTGGCAATTCCTTAATATTGTTTGGGTAGTTTAGGTTCACAAATTTTTTTATTATATCATTGACTGATTGAGGTAATGGTTTGAAGCTTGACCAAAAACATATACTGGGATTATTTTGGTGAATAGATTTGAATATTTTGTAACTAACAGTACAGTACGCTCAGCGCGACTTTTTCAAAACCCGCGTGACCCCGCGAATGAGGTTTACCGCGGACGAAAATTTGCTCAGAAAATTTTCACCACCGCGGACATAAATCGGCAGCTGAAACCGTTTCCCCCGCGGAACGCAGTGGTAAATTGCGGAGGAACGCGGCGGTCAAACACCGGTCAACGCGGTGGAAACCTGAAATTGTAAAAATTAATTACTGTATTTAAACATCATTATACGTACGTACATGTACTGTACATATACATGTAACTATATGTAACTATATGTAAACTTTTTTTGTGTTCTTTCTTTTTTGTTGTAATAAAGGTACATGTACAAATGCAATGATTTTCTTGTTCTTCTTCTTGTTATTGTGTTGGGTAATGTATAATATGTATTCGACATCAAGATAAATCATTGTCGTCGCAACTTCATGGTAGTGAGAAACTTGAAGTCAAATAATGAATAATAATAAACAACAACAAAAACACTGGTACAGCTGTAATTATTTTTATTTCAAATTCCGTTCAAATAATTTAACGTATAATAACATTTAAGGAAACGATTGTGGTCAATTTTCAAGTCATTGTGCAAAAAAAGATGACGTTAAACAATAATAAAACGTCTATTATTTTTGGAGGTTAATTAATACTGACCAACTGACCATGGCGTTCCCCCGCGGGAAACGGGTGACTGATTTTATCGATAAATGAAGAACGGTCGTCAGAATTTTGTCCGCGGTGGAAACAACTGAACACCGGGGATCGCGGGGAAATTAGGCTTCTCATCGCGGACGAGCCCCCGCGTTTGTCCGCGATAGAAAAAAATCGTCCGCGGTGGTATCGCGGAAAAAGCAAAAACCGCGGTGAGCGTACTGTATGTGAGAGTTATATTTCATGTTAAACTGTTATTTTCAGGATAGTGATGATGGTGGTGGCTGGGGAGATGATGATGATTGGTAACCTGGGATGTGCAATTCTCTTCAACGATAAATTATATCTTAGATTTCTAGATAACTTATAACTTTATCTGAAAAAAAAAAATATTTGAAACATATTTTTAATTATAGTTACAACAGTTACCGTATTTGTCGTTGAAAGGAGGCAAACTTTGTAAACTTGTAATTTTGATATAATCGAACAATATTCAATATTGACTGATTCAATGGGGTTCATTATCATTAAACATGCATGGGTCAAAAAACCATACCACACAAGGGGTGTTTAGAAGGACATATATGGTATTTGTTTATTTCTAGATTGTCTAATATTATAATAAAAGCTACAGCTTCGGAACAATAGTGAAGATGTATGGTTACCAGTGTTAGAAGTAAAAAAATATGATCTACTAAAATGATGTTAGAATTTATTTTACATGACTGTTAAGGGTACCTCTTGCTCCAAGTGCAATGAATATTCTGTAAAATGTATATATATCCTAATATAAATTAATATCTCTTTAGATTTGATGGACAAGATTGGGTTATTTGATATTTATTCTCCACAAAGCCTTTCAGTGACAAGTTTGGGTTATTTTTTACTTATTTCCAGCAAAGTTTTTCAAGGGCAATTTTGTTTATATGATATTTATTCTCCACAAAAGCCTTCAATTTCAAGTTTGGTTTTTTTTAATCATTTCCAGAAAGGCCTTTCAAGGACAAGTTAGGGTTAGAGCTCTACTTGATATTTATTCTCCACCAAGACCTGTCAAATCTGTATGTCCTTTTCTAGTCAAAATAATATTTAAGAATACTTAATTATAAATTTGTTTAAAAGAGTCTTTTTTAAATGTTTTATATACATGCACAACAAATAACAAATGTTCCATGAATCCATCTTTGTGAAAACAAGTGATAAACATTTGTCGCCAGTATAGAGCCAGGCCAGCCAGTCTGCACATTTACACTTGATACTGCATTAATTTCAATTGCTTGAAATTAATCAATTAACATTTTTACCCCCGCTACAAATCTTATATGGACTTGGCCATCTTACAATCTGGACAAGACTATTCAAGCCTTTTTAGTCCCCTACCGGTTTACCGGAGGGGACTTTAGGTTTACCCTCCGTCCGTCTGTCCGTCCGTCTGTCTGTCAGTCCGTCCACAAAAGTGGATCCCGCGATAACTTACTGAAAATATTTTTATGAAACTTGGTATATGGATAGATGGCAGTATGGAGATTATGCACGTCTTTTTCTTTTCTTCCTATGTTGAAAATTCTGGTTGCTATGGCAACAAATAGGCTAAAAAATATGGCAAATTTTACACATAAACTGGATCCAGTGATAAAGCAAAAAGTACTGGAAATATTTTTATGAAACTTGACATATGGGTAGATGGCAGTCTTGGAATTATGCACGTCTTTTTCTTTTCTTCTTATGTTGAAAATTCTGGTTGCTATGACAACAAATAGGCTGAAAATATGGCAAATTTTACACATAAACTGGATCCAGTGATAAAGCAAAAAGTACTGGAAATATTTTTATGAAACTTGACATGGGTAGATGGCAGTCTTGAGATTATGCACGTCTTTTTCTTTTCTTCCTATGTTGAAAATTCTGGTTGCTATGGCAACACATAGACTGAAAATATGGCAAATTTACACATAAACTGAATCCAGTGATAACTCAAAAAGTACTGGAAATATTTTTATGAAACTTGACATATGGGTAGATAGCAGTGTTGAGATTATGCATGTCTTATCTGTTCTTCCTATTTTGAAAAAATATCGGTTGCCTTGGCAACAAATAGGCTTAAAACATGGCAAATATAACAATATTTGTGATTAGTCAAAAAGAGCTGAAAATTTTTATGAAATTGCATCTTTTATTCAAGAGTTATCTCCTCTTTAAGAATTCTGCTTTTAAAATGTTATATTTTGGTAACAGGGATGTTTCAAATATTAACTTTAGAGTGTCCTTCAGTCCGTCTGTCTGTCTGTTCATAAAAACTGTTTCCTGTGATCACTTTTAAAGAACTTTTCCAACAAGTTTACTTAAAATAGAGAAAAATTGAAACATAAGTGAATGGCCAATGGCCCTTCAGAATGTTGATGGGTTCTAACCGGTAGGGGACTTATGGATTGCTTGCAATACTATGATAATTGCTTGTTCCCCTATCCCACGGGTCCAAAAAGGGTCCCATTCCCCATCATAATTATGTTTTTTTTCCCAATCCAAAAAAATGTTCCCAATCTAGAAGTCAATTATTTGAAAGAAGAAGCACTGCATTTTCAATTTTGGTGTCACTAAATAGTGTTACTGAATATATTCATGTTTTGTGAATAAAAACAGGATTTTTATACCCCCGCACAACGAAGTTGTAAGGGGGGTATACTGGAATAAGCTTGTCCGTCCAGCCGTCGCCCCGTCTGGCCGTGCGGCCGTCCGTCGGTTTTTCCTTGTCAGCCCAATAACTTAAGATTCCTTTGACCCACAGTCTTCATATTTGGTATTAAGATTGGTCATTAATAGTAGATGATCCCTTTTGATCTTGAGGTTGCTGGGTCAAAGGTCAAGGTCACAGGGGCCTTGACTTCTAAAAGTTTGTCCGCCCAATAACTAAAGGTTCCATTGACCCACAGTCTTCATATTTGGTATTAAGATTGGTCATTAATAGTAGATGATCCCTTTTGATTTTGAGGTTGCTGGGTCAAAGGTTAAGGTCACAGGGGCCTTGACTTCAAAAAGCTTGTCCGCCCAATAACTTAAAATTCCTTTGACCTACAGTCTTCATATTTGGTATTAAGATTGGTCATGAAAAGTAGATGATCCCTATAGATTTTGAGGTCACTGGGTCAAAGGTCAAGGTCACAGGGGCCTTGACTTCAAAAAGCTTGTCTGCCCAATAACTTAAGATTCCTGTGACCCACAGTCTTCATATTTGGCATGGAGGTTAGTCATGATTAGTAGATGACCCCTATTGATTTTGAGGTCACCAGGTCAAAGTCACAGGGGCCTTGACTTCAAAAAGCTTGTCCGCCCAATAACTTAAGATTCCTTTGACCCACAGTCTTCATATTTGGCATGGAGGTTAGTCATGATTAGTAGATGACCCCTATTAACTTTGAGGTCACCAGGTCAAAGGTCAAGGTCACAGGGGCCTTGACTTCAAAAAGCTTGTCCGCCCAATTACTTTAGATTCCTTTGGCCCACAGTCTTCATGTTTGGCATGGAGGTTAGTCATAATTAGTAGATGACCCCTATTGACTTTGAGGTCACCTGGTCAAAGGTCAAGGTCACAGGGGCCTTGACTTCAAAAAGTTTGTCCGCCCAATTACTTAAGATTCCTTTGACCCACAGTCTTCATGTTTGGCATGGAGGTTAGTCATGATTAGTGGATGACCCCTATTGACTTTGAGGTCACCAGGTCAAAGGTCAAGGTCACGGGGGCCTTGACTTCAAAAAGCTTGTCCGCCCAATTACTTAAGATTCCTTTGACCCACAGTCTTCATGTTTGGCATGGAGGTTAGTCATGATTAGTAGATGACCCCTATTGACTTTGAGGTCACCAGGTCACTTTGACTTCAATAAGTTTGTCTGCCCAATAACTTTAGATTCCTTTGACCCACAGTCTTCATATTTGGCATGGAGGTTAGTCATGATTAATAGGTGACCCCTTTTGATTTTTAGGTCACTTGGTCAAAGGTCAAGGTCACAGGGGCCTTGACTAAGAAAGATTGTCCACCCATTTTCTTAAGATTCCTTTGACCCATAGTCTTCGTATTTGGCATGGATGTTGATCATGACCATAAGGTGACCCCTATTGATTTTGAGGTCACTGGGTAAAAGGTCAAGGTCACAGGGACCTTGACAAAAAAATCTTTTCCCCTCAATTGCTTAAGAATGCCTGTCCGCAGTGTATTGTTTTTGACATTTTCACATTTGAAGCAGGTAGAATGCATAACTTAGCAATGCACTGGCTTAGTAACCTCAGATTTGGCAGGGAGGTTGTCCTTGACCTCTAAATGGCCACTGTTGATTCTGTTAAAGTGGTATGCGGGGGTATTCACGCCATGACAGTGACAGTTCTAGTTAATTGATAACAGTTTTACATTTGTACACACTTTAGCCTGTCCTCGTACATTGTGTATTTTTGATATTACAGAAAAAGCTGAACAGTTTAAGTAAGATTTATTTAGATTTATTTTAACAATTGTAACACCTTCAGTGCTAGCATATTTTCCCAAATTGGCAAATTTCACGATAACCCTTTTCCCAAATTGGAAAATTTTACGACACAAATTCCGCAATTTTACCATGTGGCGTGTTCCCAAAATAGAGGAAAAAAGGCCTGCTATTCTATATTTTCATTGGGAAATTTCAAAATATGTACTGACTTGAATGGCAAACAGTTTTAGATTTAGGATGATCAGACAGGACAGATGTGCCAGCTGATCTTGGTCTGCTTTTGTTGCATTAAGGTAGAATAAGTTGCCATATGTAGGTTGGAGATAAAAATAGTATTGAACTGTTGCAAATCCATAAAAAAAGGCATTACATGAAATCAAAGTAAAGTATAGGTAAAATGTTATGTGGAACTTGTAACCTACAGTACCCACATTTAGAGATGTCCGTGTTACAGTGCTATTACTGTTGATACTTAAAGTGCCATTGGATTAATCTCATCCAATTCATTTATTGATCTACACAATCTACACATCACATCTGTCTTTGAAAATTCTCCCCTCCCCTCCCCCCACTCCCACATTCATAATTCTCTCCCCCCCCCATCATAGTGCTCAGAGGGATGGGGGGGATACAGGACAAAAATTAGGGGTTTGATAGTAATTATACATGTTAAATTGATAATATAAAGCATTCATTGTTAACAATGTTTTTTTTTTAAATCAAGTTACTAAATCATATGAACTGATTTTTGTACATGTATGTTCAATTTTTTTTCTCAAATTTTAGAAATATTTACGCTCTGGTGACCATGATTCAAAGCCTATATTATATTTTTGCAGTGAAAATATTATGTTTGTATTGTACTATATTTTTTACTTGTTTAGACTTGTTTGAAAAAAAAAATCCAAAATATAAAAATTTATTTGATCCTTAACCCTTTAAGCGCTGGACCCGAAAGCATTAAGTCTTTGCCACCAGTATAGAGCCAGGCCAGCCTGCACATCCGTGCAGTCTGACCAGGCTCTATACTGTTGGCTGACAAACCTTAAATATTCAAATTGATATCCCTAAAATTGATAATGGACAGTCCCAAAAATGGAAGTGGGACAAGTCCATTTAAAATATTCAGCATGTTCAGGGTTAAAAAAACTCACTATGTTCTAGTGTAATAAACACTATTAAACATGAACAAAAATTAAATGTATCAAGTATGGAAACAAGGACATTGTATAATGCGGAACACGTGAGGAAAGCAAAATTCAAGTGCTGAAAGGTCAAGTTTTACATGTTTTATACAACGGGTCATCAGCCAATCTTACAAATACTGATTTCACGAATGAAGTGCATAATGTAACAAGTACAGCTTGGTTATATACGTTGATCATGGACCAGATAAAAATAGTTCTCTTGTTTAATACTACATTTTGTAGTTTGTTATTTGTTGCAATATGATAAATGTTATGTTTTAAATTTTTAAGTTATCATTAACTGTACAAAATTTATTTAATCACAGAAAAGTATTTTTAGCTCGACTATTCGAAGAATATGAGAGCTATTGTAGTCGCCCCGGCGTCGGCGTCAGCGTCCGCGTCGGCGTTGGTTAAAGTTTTTTGTAAAGTCAAATATCTCAATTATTACTTGTGATATTCAATTGAAACTTACAATAGTTATTTATAGTAACAAGGTACATCAGATTGACAAGTTGGATAACTCTGCCTACAATATTGACAGAATTATGCCCCTTTTTAACTTAGAAATTTTGGTTAAAGTTTTTTGTAAAGTCAAATATCTCAATTATTGCTTGAGATATTCAATTGAAACTTACAATACTTATTTATAGTAACAAGGTACATCAGATTGACAAGTTGGATAACTCTGCCTACAATATTGACAGAATTATGCCCCTTTTTAACTTAGAAATTTTGGTTAAAGTTTTTTTGTAAAGTCAAATATTTCAATTATTGCTTGAGATATTCAATTGAAACTTACAATACTTATTTATAGAAACAAGGTACATCAGTTTGACAAGTTGGATAACTCTGCCTACAATATTGACAGAATTATGCCCCTTTTTAACTTAGAAATTTTGGTTTAAGTTTTTTGTAAAGTCAAATATCTCAATTATTGCTTGAGATATTCAATTGAAACTTACAATACTTATTTATAGTAACAAGGTACATCAGATTGACAAGTTGGATAACTCTGCCTACAATATTGACAGAATTATGCCCCTTTGGAACTAAGAAATTTTGGTTAAAGGTTAAAGGTCTTCAAAGATATTTACTTGAAACTTTACACATGCACGTAGGGTCATAATTGGAGGGTCATAATTGTATGTCACTGACCAAGTTCCATAACTCTATCTTGCATTAAGGCTGATTCATATCCCCTTTTCTACTTAGTCTCTTGGTTAATGTTTACATGCAAGTTTTACATATCTCAATAACTATTAAAGATATTTATTTAAAACTTCACATATGCATTTAGAGTCATAATTGTAGTTCACTGACAAAGATCCATAATTCTATCTTGCATTTAGGCTGATTTTTCTCCCCTTTTTTAACTTAGAAATTCATGGTAAAGTTTTGCTTGTAAGCTGTTATCTCAATAACTACTGAAGGGTTTGTGCCTTTTTTGGGACAATTTAAGCATTAATAATAATAAAGCTGTGATTTACTTAATAAAACATCTTAATAACAAGCCTTTGTACCTTTTCTGTCAAATTTATGTATTCATAGGTAATTAGTATTATTATACTCAATAAAACACCCTTGTGACATTACCTTCCGAATAGTCAAGCCAATACTGTATAATTAGACTCTCTTCAAGGCCTATAACTTGAATTTATAAAAAAAAATTAGCCCTTTTGTGAACTTAAAAAATTTAACATTATCAAGGCTCTTTTACTATCAAGCACTTAGAATAGTCGAGCGTGCTGTCCTTCCGACAGCTCTTGTTTATGAAAATACTTTCACTTTAAGTTTCATGTAAGTTAATCACAGCATCATCTCCTCCTGGTTTCATTTATCTTTATAATGTGGGTAATTTAAAGCAGTATGCCTCCAGATTCATGCTAATTTTCATGAAAATTTTGAAAATGTATTTAAAAGTAAAATATTGTGAAGTAAATAAAGAAAGTAATTTACTCATTGCAAATGGCACTAACAATCCACGTTAATTACCAAAAAGAAGTCAAAATAAATACCTCTTACTGCGTTTAAAGTAACGCAGTAAAATATAGTGACTGATACTGCAACGTTACCTTTACATTAATCGCACATAACATGTTAATAATTAATTTAATTCTGAATCATTTTACTTTCTTAAGATCTGTATACATTTTTCTATAGATTGAATCTCTTGAAATATTTTGGCTCATCTGGAGGCGTGCAGCTTTAAGTATTTTTAATGTTAGATAATAATAATTAATATGAGGGTGAAAATTTTCATGGTATTGCAAGCTTATTACAAAATGTATTATGTTGAACAGTGTAATAAATTAGCAGACTACAACTTGTTATCTTTGTAATTTTAAGGTAAATTAATATTTCAGGTTTGAAATACATTGATAAAACGATAATATAGATCAGCTTATACATGTCTATTTGTAAATATTGTCAGTATTGAGGGGAAAATTCACTAATTATAAGTGCCAAAAGTCATTGATGATTTGTGGAAGACAATTTATTTTGGAGCCTGCAATATATCAGCATAGCAATATTTATTATATTTGTTAGTGCATAATCTTGCTAATTAAGAGGTTATCGAAAATTTCGTAGACTTTTGCTATTGCTTAAACATGGTTATTAAAAATTTAGTAAATTGTATATTGCAGTAAAGCATTCATTTAATTAATAAGATTTTTTAGCTCACCTGAGCTTGCTCAGGGTGACCTTTTAGGATCGGTGAATGTCCGTCGTCCGTCCACAATTGCTTGTGAACACTCTAGCGGTCACATTTTTGAACCAATCATCATCCAACATTGTCAGGATGCTTGTTTAGTCAATTGCTTGGATGAGTTCGAACATGGGTCATCTCCGATGAAAATCTAGGTCACAAGAGCTATAAATAGAAAACCCTTGTGAACACTCTAGCGGTCACATTTTTGAACCAATCATCATCAAACTTGGTCAGAATGCTTGTCTAGTCAATTGCTTGAATGAGTTCGAACATGGGTCATCTCTGATGAAAAACTAGGTCACAGGAGCTAAAAATAGAAAAACCTTGTAAACACTCTAGCGGTCACATTTTTGCATCAATCATCACCAAACTTTGTCAAGATGCTTGTCTAGGTGATAGCTCGGATGAGTTCGAACATGGGTCATCTCGGATGAAAAAGTAGGTCACCGGAGCTAAAAATAGAAAAACCTTGTTAACACTCTAGCGGTCACATTTTTGCATCAGTCATCATCAAACTTGGTCAAGATGCTTGTCTAGGTGAAAGCTCGGATGAGTTCGAAGATGGGTCATCTCGGATGAAAAACTAGGTCACAGGAGCTAAAAATAGAAAAACCTTGTTAACACTCTAGAGGTCACAATTTTGCCTCAATCATCATCAAACTTGGTTAGGATGCTTGTCTAGGTGATAGCTCGGATGAGTTCGAACATAGGTCATCTCGGATGAAAAGTAGGTCACCGGAGCTAAAAATAGAAAAACCTTGTTAACACTCTAGCGGTCACATTTTTGCATCAATCATCATCAAACTTGATCAAGATGCTTGTCTTGGTAATAGCTCGGATGAGTTCGAACATGGGTCATCTCGGATGAAAAACTAGGTCACAGGAGCTAAAAATAGAAAAACCTTGTTAACACTCTAGTGGTCACAATTTTGACTCAATTGTCATCAAACTTGGTCAGTAAACTTGTCTAGGTCATTGCTGGGAATAAATTGAACATGAGTCATCTCGGATGAAAAAGTAGGTCACCGGAGCTAAAAATAGAAAAATCTTGTTAACACTCTAGTGGCTACTGTTGTGATCCAAATATTCTGTTAATTGGTCTGAAAGTTTGTTTTGATGATTTCTAAGTCAAGTTCGAACATGGGTCATCTTGGATGAAAAACTAGGTCACGCCGCCCAAATATGGAAAAACCTTGTTAACATTCTAGTGGTCACATTTTCTAATCAATTATCATCAAACTTGGTCAGGATGCTTGTCTAGGTAATTGCTTGGATGAGTTCGAAATCGCATGTGGAACTAGGTCACCGGAGCTAAAAATAGAAAAATCTTGTTAACACTCTAGTTGCTACTGTTTTGATCCAAGTATCCTGGAAATTGGTCTGAAAGTTTGTTTTGATGATTTCTAGGTCAAGTTTGAATATGTGTCACCTGGGTAAAAAACTAGGTCGCACTGCTCAAATATGGATTATCCTTGTTAACACTGTAGTGGTCACATTTTTGACTCACCTGTCATGAGACTTGGTCAGAATGCTTGTCTAGGTAATTGTTTGGATGAGTTTGATAAGTCAGGTGAGCGATCTAGGGCCATCATGGCCCTCTTGTTTATGAAATAATTATTCGCAATCATGTTGATGATATTTTGTAAACAATAATGGTTACAGCAAAAGTCTACGTAGTTAAAAATTTGGATCATCCCTCATACACTTTGATTTTACGTATACACCTCAACCTGTGGTATTCTGTATGAAGTTGATGATGTAGCCAGTAATTTACTTACATTACATTATACTGTTCTTAAATAAATAGTTATCAATTTTGAGTGATTTCTAAAACAATGGGCGATTCGTGTTCAGACATTCAGCAGTTCAGAACTGACAGAAGGCCTGTATTATTAATTACAAGGCTGAACCATGAATTATAATTGTTCTGCAAAAATTGATATATTTACTGCACTGTGTATATAAATTACTACTTTATATGTACACAGTAGATATATCTATTTTTAAAAAAGACCTTTTGCCAGTAGATTTTTA